GTAAGCCCCTCTCACAGATTTTCTTGACCTAAAGGTGCCTGAACACTTACCCTTGGCAGGGAATGAAGACTGAAAAGATGCACCCAGTATTTTCTGCACCATACCCTAGTTTCACAGGGCAAAGTAGAAGTACTGGTTAATTTGTAAAAAAACACTTCTGTAGACAAGTAAGGCTTGTCCTCCCAGTAAAGAGTGACTTCAGAAACTGAAATACAGAGTATGAAATGCCACTGGCTCTTTCAGTCACATATAGCTCGCTTGTCTAGAAAAACATGGTTTGGAGGGGTTTTCTTCCATGTTTCAACTTTATTTTCAGTAATCCTATTAGACAATAATTTATGCTTTGAATTGACTACTTTCTATCATACTGGCACGCCACAGAATCGCAGCTTTCATTAACTAAAACCACATTGTGTGCCTTCTTTATGTCTTCAGAGAAGATATTTCCAGAGCATCTGGAAGCCTGAGACTTACTAGCTTTTCACAGAAGTTCACAGCGTTTCCTCTTTTCACTCAGCCTTTAAGAGTATGTCCAGAAAGCAACCAAATTCCTCAGAATGCTTCTCTACATTTCTAATCTGATCATCTGACAGAGTGTAATTTTAAGTATCCGAGTGAAGTTGATCTTGAATCCAATTGCTTTAAGCTTCCTAAACCAGCCTCTTTCATAACAAACAGGCAGAAATGAATAGAGTTTACAATCTCTGAATGACAATTTCCTAACCACCAGTTGAATGTTTCCAACAAACATATAGCAATAAAGAAAATGAAATCTTCTAAGCACAATCTTAATATTTGTGTATTTCCTACCAATGAAGTGAGTGGTCTAAATAGTAGACACAGTAATAAAGGATTCTACTCTAAATGAAAAAGGCACTCCAGTTTGCCTATCTGCTTTAGCTACCTTTACTCAGGAGAACACAAGAGAAAAAAAATCCAATGTTGTTATTGATAATTTTTGTGTTAATGAGAAGTTCGCAGAAAAAAAAACCCACCACTTTGTTAAGCCTTCTCATTTTATCTCAAGTATATGTGCGTGCCCGCACCACCATCAGCATTAAGAGCACCAATGTAATTTAAGCCATTCCAATAAAAATAATCCTCCATTGCAAAAATGCAAATAAAGCCAATTCTGCCACCTAGCGTCTAAAAGTATGCACTGATTTTGATTTCCATTTCCCTGATGCTTAGTGACCTCCAAACATCTGACAGTTTATCAGCTGACACAAACCTTATCTAGCACAAGAAGTGCTTTATAAAAGGAAAAATCCTTTAGTGATTAAAAGTGAAGTTAGTATTTTCACACACAGTAAAGAGCTAGATGAAGTCTTCAAAAAGGCTACAAAAGAAAAACTTAATCTTTCTATTCTCATGTTTCATTCTCTTTTTCTAAATTCAAAGGAACTAAATGTTTTGTAACAACACTGCTAACTTAGTGAAGAAAGCGGTCCTGACCATTTCTGAATTCTTGGTATATGCAGTTAGGCATAATTATTTTTAAACTTCAGGTAGTTCATTTGAAACACTCAAATTTTAGACACTTAGCATCTACTCAAAAGTTTTATGAACAGAAAGCAACCATTAGTTTGTTTACCACAGTCTTACCCCATTGCTTGTCTGTCCTTTTTTTTCCCCCTTCTGCCTTTGCTATTGTCTTTTCAGTGTTTTTCCTCTGCATTTATTTGTAGAAGTCAAAATAGAAACAAAACCAAGACCCATATGGAATATAAGACCAAACAATAAATAAGAGACTTAGATTGCCAACTGAAACCAAACTTACAGCAAAGCCAAGCCATAGAGCATACAACTGCTAGAACACAACTGGAACAAACTCCCACCCTCCAGATTCATTGCATGGGAATCCAGCCCTTCCTTACTAATTCCTTGATCTGAAATACAGGTGTGATTGATTATTCATTGAGCCAGGAAACCAGTAAAAAGTAGTATTAATCTTTATACCTCAAGAGGCTATGTAGTGGGTTTTTTTTTTTTCCACATAGAAACAGTATGTTTTGTCATCAATTTTACCAGACCACAGCACCAATCCTGTATACCGATTGCATATCTTGAGAGTCATTCTCACTGAGACTGGTTTATACAGGTATGTTAAACCTTAATAACATGAACACAGTGCTTATAGTATGATGCTCTCCCCCCTCACCATGGCAATTTCTAAACGTTACAGAAAAATTTGCTGATTTTACTCTGAAGATGAGAGTTGCAATGGTTTTGGCAATGTAAAAAACTTACTTTGAAAAGATGACAGTGAGCTTCTTCCTGTTTTTTCTGGGTTCTGAATCTTCGTCAAACTCTTCCATCTCTTTTCCTAGAAAAACTTCTTGATGAAATTCTTTGTTAAGGTGTCCATCCATCTCCATTTTGACCCCATTCAAATGATCTGGGGGCAAGATCTCATTCTCATCTTTACTGTCAGCTGGCTTTTCTTTGAGGGCCGAATTATTTGCAGGCCTTGCATAAACATCCATTAGAAGAAACACAAACAGAAGGGACAAATACAGAGATCCCAAACTGCAGAGAAAGGCCTGTCTTGACATCATTTTTTCCTTGTTATTCAAAATATTGGCTGATTAAACTACTGTGAGCAGATTAAAACGACCTAAAAACAAAAAGGAAAAAGCACATGCAAATTAAACTTCAGAACATTGTGTCACTAATAAAACAGGTCCTAAAATTCAGAAGAACCTACACACACAAGTATTAGCTGTGAGAGAATATAGAAAACTTGTTAAATAATAAATACACGACAAGAAATTAATCTGTGTTAGCTTTCAGTCTGCACAAATGTAACCTCTGTCAGAGGACTTTAAGATAACATCTTTTAAGCGGCCTGGTTCTGCTCTGTTAACTGCCTTTGGGTGTTACGGCATGAGCTGACCTGACAACTGAAACCCAAGCATTTACTGAGAAGTCCAGGCAGGGCACAAAGCACTTAACCATCTGTACGTGCAGCCCAAGCTCCACCGTGGAAACGTCCCTAGCACTGATGCTGTGCTTCCCAGCAAGCTGCAGAAACAGCCACGACGGCAAAACAGTTTACCAGAGATCCCAACAGACACACCCCCACCCCCCCTCCTTTTAGAAAGGCTGAAAGGTGTAAAGGTGGTTTTTTTTTTATTTTTGTTGGTTTTTTTTTTTTTGAAAGAGACGACTAAAGGAAATACGATTACAAACCCCATCACTTAAAGAGGAGCTGGAAACACCCAGGAAATTGCCGGCAGGAAACGCAACCCCGGGGCGGACCTGTCACGACCTGCTCGCTGGGGCGTGAAAACCGCTGCCACATACGAGTTAGCAGATGGCAGGGACAGGGAGAGGGACCACAGCCCAACAGAGAGCGCGCCGAGCAGCACGAACTCCACAGCCCGGCGATGCAGAGCAGAGCCCCGGGCAGGGAGTACCCGCCCAACCCGCGGGCAGGAACCACGGACCGAGCGGCGACGGCGAACTCTCCAGCGGAGAGGGGGAGCCCGG